CCAAATGACCTGCCCATTCTCTCACGTCAGATGATTAAGTTCCATTCATTGAATCCCAGAAGCCTCTCACACTCTAAAGATAAAAAGCCTGATGCAGCATATTTACTTTTAAGTCATATCCTGAAGCAGCCCAAATGCTTTCCTGGAAAAGCATTCCTAGTCCCGATGTTACAGCTGGCGGGATGAGAGCCAGCTCTGCCCTGCGGTTTCAGCTCAGGGAAGGGCCTGCGGCAGGTGCGGGCACCGTGTGTTCTCAGTTCTGACTCTCCAGCTCACCTGGAGCACCCCAACACGGATACCACACAACAGGTCTTCTTCAGTGTTCCTTCAGGCCCCAGAACCAAAGCACTGAGTGACTTGCTGTGGGGTCAAACAGCTAGTTAGGAGCCAGGTGGGCATGAAGCTTAGATGTGCATCCTCGGCCCCAGAGGCCACCACTACTGCACAGATCGCCTGGTTTACAAGCGGACTCAACCAAGCCTGGGGTTCCAAACTTCACCTGCCAGCTGATACCAGCAGATCCAGCGAGGGCCAATTTCAGAGCTTTCTCTGAAGTCCTCTCGTCAAAGATAAATACTCTTTTTCAGATTAAAAGAATAAAACATTCCAAAACCACCTTTTGCATAGTGACATCGTCATCAGACATAAAGTTGAAAAGTTAGATTCACTGCCCTTTCATTTTCCCTTGAATATTCTCTATTATTTAATTGGGCAGTGTCACCTTTTTTTTTTTTTGTTTTTTACCTTCTTGCCAAAAGACAGATAATCCTTTGACTTATTATTTTAGCAAAGTTTTATTTTCTATTCTAGAACTTTTTTTACTTGAATTTCATCTTCTCTCTCTCTCTGGTTCCGAATATACCCACAGACAAGACTAGAGCCATGTTCCCCTGTCCTGTGTTCGTACCTGCATCTGTTCTGGGATGTGATGATGAGTCCCTGGTGTCAGTCACTGTAGCCAAGTCAAATAAGCCACCAGGGAGGATTGCTTTAGTTGCCTCCCGAGATGTGCTTGTTTTTCCATTAAGGAGGAGCCTTGTGATATTTTCCTTCTGAGGAGTCCAGAGTTTGAACTTTAGTACTAAAGCTATAGGGAATTCTAAGAAAGAATTGTCCTCCATGATTCTTAAATAGAGCATCGGGAATGGCTTAGCACTATACATTTTTCATAATTTATCAATACACTGATTGAAAGGAGAAGAGAAAACCTTTGGAACACATTGCTTCTGTTTTTCTCTCTTTCCTTTCTCTTTGGGGGCAGAAGGAAAGGTACAGCCGTGTGCAGGAGTGTCATTTTTCAAGTGACTTTTCGAGGACGTGGAGTCCTAGAAGGCACTCTGGAAACTGAAGCTGGTCTGAAGGCAGCCTGGAGCCCAGCATTTCCAGGGGTACACAGGGCTACACCCTGATACCTATGAGAATCTCAAGTCTGTGGCCGGTCTCCTCGGTTGAGGTCATGAGGTCAGCCCAGTTCCCCTGCATATTTAATCTAAAGGAAAGAAGGTCTTTGTTCTCTGGAATTCTCTTCCTTCCAGAATCACACAGGACTGGTCTCTTGTATCTTCAAGGCTGCTGTTCCATCTCTTAAGATAACTAACAATGCCCAGCATGGGCTGCAGTGCGCATTTTTGCTTTTAAGTCTCCTCAAAGGCCGGGAGCATGATGCTACAGGAACCTTCCCTGACACCGGCCCAGCAGATGCCTCAAGCACTTGCTCTGTGCCACACTCCAGGGCACTTCACACACGTCCACTCATCTGACAGCCCACAACCCTAGAGATGGATACCACTGGTAACAGCCCCATTGCAGGACATAGGGGTGTGGTGAGCGCCAGGGATAGGCAGCTCATCAGCTGCGGAGTTGGGAATGGCCCAAGGCAGCCTGCCCTCAGAGTGTGGGCTGGTAAGCATTATACTTGCACTGCCTTTTAGGAAGGCACATGTGCTCAGCACCTTGGCAACCTGAACAACAGCAAGTGCTGCCCAAGGTTGCACAAGCGGAGCACATGTGTTTATAGTGGGTCCTGAGCCCAGGATGCCCAATGGGATATATGCTTCCTTTTCTCCTTTGGGTACCTGGTCATATTACTCCCCCTTTGCACTGGGCTCCTACTCTTCAGAGCAATGCAGTGGGATTGGTGGGGGGGGGGGGCACCTTTCTAGGAACCAGGCTCCCAACACAACACACTGTTAGTTACAGTTAAGAGCAAGGAGAAAGCACAACCAGAGGACTCAAATACTGAAACTCAGAAGCACCCGCACTACTGACTTATAGTCTGATCCTGGGAAGCTTAGTGCAGTGAACAAGCGTCTGGGTCTAAATCTCATGTCTGCCTCTTATAGAGAAACCTTGGGCAAGTTGTTTAAACTCTTTGTGCCTCTGTTTTCCCATCTGTAAAATGGGGGTGGTAATAATCACCTACCTCATAGGTGTGTTTTCCTATGAGGCTCAGAACGATTATGACATACAAACTGGCACATAGAAAGTACTCATTCAGTAATTATTCTCTTTGCTAACCATTTGTAGCTGTTACTGCTCAAAAGCTTTTCAAGCGACAATAAGCAGCTGTTTTTCCTAAATTGACCTATTCCTGGAAAGAGTCCTTGGTACAAATAGGCAATGACGCAGGATTCTTGAGCATAGTACAGAAATAGGGGAGGAGCTGACCTTGCCACAATTAAGAAAGATATTTTAATGAATATAGTTAAGGATCAAAAAATGATTTAATGAGTAACAGGTATTAAAGCCAGTTGTCAGTAAGAAGTTAATAAGTAGAAGATCTATTGTTGAGCATCACAAGTTGCATGCCTGTTGAATAATACTATTAATAGGTCTCTAGTAAAATAACTCAGGAGCATTTATCTGTTTTTATTTGTAGATTTAGAATCTAAAGCCCAGGGACTTGAAATAAATTGACAAGTGATTCCACTGTCTCCCAACACAACACTCTAACTCAGTGGTTTTTTTTTTTTATCCTCACCCAAGGACATTTTTCCATTTTTTGTTCAGATAGAGTGGGAGGGAGGAAGCAAGGGAGGGGGGGGGGAGAGAGAGAGAGAGTGTGTCATGGATGTGAAAGGAACACATTGAGTGGTTGCAACCCGCACGACCCAACCAGGGTCAGGAACAAACTGCAACCGAGGTACATGCCCTTGAGCAGGAACCGAACCCGGGTCTTTCTGAACCGCAGGCTGACGCTCTAATCACTGAGTCAAACCGGCCAGGGCAAGATGTCTGCATTTTTAACCAGCCTTTTCTAGGTGAGTGTAGGGGTCCAAGGACTGTACTCTGAGAAGCACTGCTAAGCAATAAATGCTCTTGGTCTCATCCAAGGATGACAGAGCTCAGAGACTCAGGTGAGTGTGTAGCATCTAAGAGGTTCTGGGGGAAGGCAGAGAAGGGCATTACATGTGATAGGGCACTGGCCTTTGTAAGAAGCTGGGAATATTCTCTCCCTGTTCAAAGTGTGGAAACCAGGGCTCTAGATTTATGCGTAGAGCTATGTTTAGGACCCAGATATTCTGACATGAAGCCCTTTCCACCAATTTAGGATCAGTCCTAGATAAGAATCCCTGGGCTTTCACTATCCTCAGGAAGGAAAACATTGATACTACAACAGTGAGTCTAGAGAACAAAGGGGTGTGGGAGACAGTACAGCCAACACACCCACATTCAACAGGACTCAGTGCTTTCCTTTCTAGAAACCTCGTCCTTGTTTGAGCGTGTGTATTGCTTTAGCTCATACATCTGAATCAAGTCCTATAAGGTCATATGTGCATCGGGACCCAAAAGGGTCCTGATCTTCTTACATTAGGAAATGTAGAAAGGAAGAAACAGACCTGAGTTTTAAGGAAACTTTGGCCTGGAATGTTCTGGTCAAAGTCTCTGACTTCCTTTCTGACTTCCTAATCCCTGAACTGGCGCAGAAGGCAACAGAAAAGGTTAAAGGTTCTTTTCCAAGCTAGGGTAGTTCTTCCTTGCACACAGTCTTAGAATCTTTGTAGAGAATAGCACAATGTGAAAATAACAGAATTTAAACCAAACCTCAAATACAGCTTCCCAACGCCCCTGTGTGTGCACACTACCCAGAGTGGGAACCCTCGCGGAAAGGAGGAATTCCAAGCAGGAATCCCTGGGAAATCAGGTGCCAGAGAAATCACATTCCAACACAGCACAGAGAGGATGGGAGGATGGGGTCCAGGACACCTAGGAAGTCCCCTCGATTTTCAGTTCCAGTTTAAACATTTGCGTCCTCAACTGAAGACACCCACCAAATCTGCGGCAGTTTAGCCATGCTACATAAAGCTCAGTGAAATCCCCTAGAGCAATCGCCACAATGACAATACTGACAGGGCTGCCTGGAATGGCATGGCCGCTGGGGTGGAGGGCACAGAGTAAACAGGTCACAGGTGGGGGCCTTGGCAGCTCTCACTGGGGCTCTTCCAGGGCCAAACCATGTGTCCAGCCATTGTTTCCTCCATCCCAAAGGTTAAATGGAAGTACAACATTGCAACTTGTCCTCCTCACTCCGCCCATTCCTCCCAGGGGCTTTCATTTAAAAGAAGAAAACCCTCTGCCAAGGACAGTACAGTACCTAGACACCAGCTTCTGAGTTCCAGAAAAGCGTTTCTCCTCCACACCCTGGCAACTCATTGCCATGTGACTGACAGCAGCCTTCCCTGGCTTCTAAGGCTGGGGCTTTGCCTAAACGTAGTAAAAGGATGCCACGGGCTACGTTTTTTTAAATGGTTGGCTCCCGTGGAAGGGCCGACGCCTGTAACACACAGATCGATGGTAGGAAATCTAAGGGAAGGCAAATCGGTTAAGTTCTTGGGGCAAAGTGAGCTTTCTCAGAACCTGGGCTGGGCAAGGGCTGCAGGACACAGGCACACACATGCTCAGGTGAGCACGCAGGAGCTGCCTCTGGCAAAGCCACTCGGTGTGTCCCAACCATACTCCGGCGCGCGAATCAAAGCCCGTGAACGGGAGTCAGGACTTACCGCCAGGACGCTCTGGGCCAGGAGCCCCACCGTCACGGCTCCCAGCAGCAGCCACCTGGATGGGAGAGGGAAGAAAAACGCAGTGAGCGTGCGGCCTCGGCTTGGCAATTCCCGAAAGTTACACAGGGACTAGGCAGAAAGTCGCTTACCGCCGCAGGGCAGGGCCCGACGCCGTGCACTGGTCTCTGTCCATGATCCCAATCCAGCCACTCTGGGCTCGGGTCGGTCCTTCCTAGCGTGAAAGGCAAGACAAAGCGGGCTCAGCTAAGGGGCTGCGGACGGAAGCATCCTAGCCGCCGCCGCCTCCGTCTGCGGGACGCGGGAGAGCGGGGTGCGCCCACCACCTCTTCGCAGGGGTGACGGGAGCAGCCCCACTTCGAGATAGAAGAAAGAGGGGCCCTCCCATCTAGGCCTTAGTTGGTGCTGCTTAGCCGCAGCCGCTCGACCCCCACCCCTCCCATTCCTAACAGCCTGCACAAGGTGCCCAAGTCCGTGCCCTCGGCCTGGGTCTCGTCGCCCCGGGGTTGCTCTCACCTCCGGCCCGGCTTCCGCCCCTTAGAAGCGCCCGCCCGCGGCACAGCAGCAGCGCGTCGGCCCTCTCGGGCTCCCCGGGGGCCGGCCTCGGGGCCCGCACGTTCGCCCTCCGTTCTTGCAGCCAGCAGGCGCGGGGACGCTGGGTCGCGCCTCGGCAGCCGAAGCGCAGAGCCCTGGCGTCCGGTGCGCGGCAGCCACACTCCCGGGGCCGCGCGCTCCCGCCGCCTCTTACCCGCGCCGCAGGGTCCTCCCCTTTGAGACGCCGCCCGCGCGCCGCCGAGGGGAGGGGGCAGCGCCAACAAATTGAGGAGCTCGCCTGGCCTCGCTCAGGTCTCCGCTGCAAGCCGCCGCGCCCCGGACAGTGCTCGGCGCTCGCGCCCCGGCCCTCGGAGCGTGAGCCGCCCTTCGCGGCCCCCGAGCGCCCGACTGCCGTGCCCCACCGCCAGCCGCCGGTTGCCGCCGCCCCGGGCGCGCCACCATGGGGCCCCGGCTCGGCGTCTGGCTGCTGCTGCTGCCCGCAGCCCTTCTGCTCCACGAGGAGCGCAGCAGAGCCGCTGCGAAGGTGAGTCCTGGCCAGCTCGGCTCCCCGGCGCCCCGCCCTGCGCCCCGGGCACCCCGCGCTACCCCTTTGTCCCTGGCCCGAGCCTCCTACCCGCCCCTCGGGGGTCGCTCGTGGCACGGCCAGGTGCACTCTCCTCGGTCCCTGCTGGTGATCCCTGTGGGCTGCGTTTACACATTCATTAGGGAGCCTCCTTTGTTGTGGCCTGGGTAGGGGTGAGTTAGGGGACTCCTCAGGGCCGGGGGCAAGCGAGCAGAACTTGGTGCGCACTCTATGGGGTGAGTGTGCCCGGGAGTCCTCGGGATTTGAACTCGTACCGCCGGGCGCTCAGCGGCTGGCCGCCTTCACCTGCCCTGGGTGCCCGGGTGAGTCGGGGGCAGGAGGGGCGGATACACGCTCCCCACGCTGCAAGGAGCCCCACACATGTGCCCAGGCGTCTCTTTGGGCTTGTTTCCCTCGTTTTTGGAGACGCTGGTGGTTGATGCTGAACAGTCTGGGCTGTTTGCCTGGAAACAGCTGTATCTTAGCTTTCCCACGACTTTTATGTTGCTGAAGCACGCTCAAGAACAGGAGTGGGGCTCTTCTGCAGCACAGCTTTACAACGTTATCACACTCGACCCATCGCTTTAATTAATATGTACCTCGAAAAATTATAACCACATTTATATTTGAGTATGAAACCAAAATGAAACTACATCTCATTGTTCTATGTACAAATTGTTTTCCTAGTTTTCATTTCCTCCGGCTATGTGCTTGCCCGGAAAGGAGCTGGGAGTTCAGTTTGCAGGGGTAAAGGCTTCCAGCTCTGGACTGTCCTTGATGTACTGTTGTCCTTTCCTTTTTTCCTTCCCTTCAGACAGAATCAAGATCTCAGATGTTTCCCAGTGTCAAAGCCCTGTAGACAAAACCGCTCGAAGATGTAGTTTCTAAACACATTTTGCACCCCCCCCCCCCAACCGAATGTTTAAAAATGATTTTGCTACTTGCCACATTACCCAATGACTCTTTTACTGTTTCAAAATCCTAATTTTGCTCTTAGGTGGTTGTTTTTAAACTTCTCTTCTGGAAGAATGAATTATATTCACTGACTCCACTTCACTGTATATAAATTATTAACTGTTACATGCCAGAATAAAGTAATATGCACACATGTCTCATCACTAAGAGTTTGACTTGTTGCTGGCAGTGCCTCCATGGGGCATTGAAAGGACTAATGATTACATGAGCAGTTAACTTCAGATTGTTGCTCCTAGCCCAGCATCTAGCCTCTCGCACTGAGGTCAGTTATTTAAACACTCTCCAGTGAGGATGACAAACTACTTTCAAAAGAGGAGGCTTCAGAACACTTTATTTGGGTGTAGAAATATTGACCAAAAGATGTAACATGTCCAAGGAGGGATTGCTAAACCTGATGGCAAGCTAATGAGAGAAAGTTCTCTATTTAGAAATATGAACCTCTGTTTAGACTTAGACTTTCCGATTTATAATATTAACAAAGTGAATCTAATGATAAGAGCTAACTTTTCAAACAATCAAGACTTTAAGAAATGAGCCACTCACTTATGGAAACTCCTGTTTCTACCTGGGGAATAAAACTCATTACTGTTGAGTTGGGGATTTTTTTCCTTCCCTTTATTCTCAAAAGCCCAAATATATTCCTGTCCACTAGCTTTGCACTATCCCTTAAGGCATTACATAGTTGTTTCTTTTTTTTTAAGAGATCTGGCATGTGGACACTCTGATCACCAATAAACTGGACAGATATTATCATTATACTATACTTTTGCTGGCTTAATTACAGAGAGCTGCATTTGACTTATGGATGTAAATCTTAAATAGTCTAACTTTTCATGCCATCAATAACATTTTTTGCTTAACTCCTAACAAAACCAGCTGTTAGATATACCAAAGAATTGAAATAACTTCAATATTGATTCAAGCAAAATATCATCTAGAAATACATTTTGAATGATAAGATGGTATAAATCAAACTAATTTAAAAGCTAACACAAATACTTCTTTGATTACCTGCTCCTTCAGAGTATCTGAATCACATTTGACCTGCCCAAACATCACCTACTATGTGCTGGGCACAAATGGCACTTATTTATTTAATTTTCATATGGAAGCCTGTGTGATTTTACATTTTACTATATCTGCTGTGGTTATACTGTTCATTTACCAGTGGATGGATTTTCTAAGCCAATGGTTTTTGCCATACCTACTCCAATTCCTTTCCCCAACTTTTCTTTCTTAGGCAAGAAAGGAGGAACAGGGTGCTAGCCTGAGACCAAAATGTACTCCTAGTATTTTGATGGCAAGTACCATGTGTTCTCAGTCATGCAGTCAGACTGAACTGAATAAATTGTTCTTCCTGCAGCGTTCAAATTCCCCCCTCCAGCTGGTCTGTGTGATGTTCCTTAACAAATTATTTCTTGGGGTCAGAAATGTGAACTCTGCCCAAAGTATGGTGATGCCTACTTATCAATGTTGTCGTCTCCAGACCATGAGTCACCACTCCTGTGACTGAATGACTTAGAACTCAAAGGAGGAGAGATGTATTTCCCATGGGAGTTTGGACCGTGTTCGGCTGGAAATGTAATTTAAATGAGAAGATTGATTTCTGATCTAGTCCCAATGATAGCAAAATGAACCCAATATCTTGGGAGTGAGATTGGTGATGATATAATTAAAATCATCATGTTCTATAGAGAATTGGACCAGGGTTAAGAGAAGCATCTCTAATATCAACCAGAAGAAATAATGTACATAAATTATGTGTGTTTAAGAGTGGTACTCTTACAAAATTATTAGTGGTGTGTATTAGTCATATTATACAGAAGAGTGTGATTTAGGGACAAGAGGATCCTACCTTTTGTGTCTGCTTTGATTAAGCAGATTATTTTGGACGACTCCCCTCTGCCTCAGTTTCCCTGGCTGATCTGCCCCTGCTCCCAGGGGTCCATTCCTTCCTTCTTCATTTTGTACATGCTCTCTGAACTCTTCTTCATGCTGTGCACTCTGCCAGATGCTGGCCATGAAACAGTGACTGGGATCTACCCTCTGCCCCCAGTAAGATCACAGTCTAGGGAGAAACACCGAGAAAGAAACAGGCAAATCTAACTCACGCTGGTAATTATTACAGTCAGGGCAATCTGAGGGCCTCAGAAGCACCTAACCCAGCTTTGGGGTACTCAGGAAAGCTTCTGGGAGGACATCCCACTTAAATCTAAGAAAGAAATAGGAACTATAAACCTAGCATATGTTGTTTTTTTTTTAATATGCAGTATTATGGGACATCATACATGGGTGTGGTAATTCTACTTTGTCCTTTCACAAGTCTGGGGGTCTTTGCATTTAAAAATGACCCTAAAATTCCCTCTTTGAGATACCAAGATGTCATTGTTTCTCTTATCAGCAATCCTGATAACTGAACTTTTGTTTCTGAGGGGTAGAGAGACAATGAGGGCAAGATCTAGGAGAACAGCTAGCTGTAAGAAGCTCGTAGCTAGGGCCCTGAGGCTGCAGGTACATGGGGATGTTTAGAGAGGGGCAGCATGGGTGACTGATTCTAGGCGGGAGTGCATTTAGGAACTGACCCAGAAAACCTACCCTCGCTTGGGCAAGGACATGAGGGAATTCACAGAGCCCTGCATTATTCATTAACAAGACTGTTGGCAGATTTCTTGGTACTGGTAAGGATGGCTGTAACTCAACAAGTTCAGTTACCTAGTTAAGAGCTGGTAAAGATTTTCCAGACAAGTGACTTCCTAAAACAAACCCTTTTAGAAGTCAGTAGGGCATCAAGAAGTGAGTAAATGACAATTCTTGTTTTGATGAAATATACAATGTTTGTTATAACAATTGTTCCAGAAATTGAAAAAGAATTAACCTCATTAAAATGTCTCTCAGATTTGGTATTTTGAGTTCTTGAGCTAGAGTAAGCAAAAGCAACAATAGAATGCCTAAAATAATATCACTAGAGCATTGTTTTTCCTGCTATTATTAAACAACCACTAAAAAAAAATCAGCAATAGAACAATACAAAAGACATATTCCTACCATTCTTACTCATACAATGAAAGGGGATGTAAACCAGAACATGTTTCAATTGTCAGTTTCTTTTACAGAGTTTAACACTCTAAGAGTTAGTCTGGGTTAATATCTTTATAGTCTGGTACACAATGAGCTGGGTCCATCCTGTGTTTCTCTTCCATTGTTCTCTTGGTCTTACTCCTGTAACATGAGTCTACTCTAGTTTTCTTTCTATTTTTCTGCTTCTTTTTTCTTCTTCCTCTTCCAAAACTCTCTGTACCATGGGGGTAGGCCTCAGCTGGCTTCTTTCTTTTCTCTACCCTCCTCACCCTGAGAGCTCTACTCTCCAAACCTTTTTTTTTTTAAACTCCAGTTTAGTATCTTCACATTCCCACGGAACATGTTATCTGAACTGTCCTGCTTTGATCGCAGACTTAGGAAATATGTCCAGAACTGAATATATTA